CCAGTCAGAATTTTTGTTGTTGTTGTTAAGTCGTGTTGGACTCTTTGTAACCCCATGGACCCGGAGTACACCCGGCCCTCTTGTCTTCCACTGCCTCCCGGAGTTTGGTCGAATTCATGTTGGAAGGTCATGGATATCTTTCAGGACTGCACTTTCAAATAGGTGGTTCAAGATAAGACACACATATGTCAAGGTTCCATATGACTAGGACGAATGGCCCACACTACATGCTTTCAAGCACAGCTTGGAATATCTCTTGAGTGATTTTGTATTATTGTTTCCAAAAGCATTGTAAGAGTTGGGGGAAAACATGGCTGCCTTCAGCAGCTATCTTTTCCTATGAAATCATAATCATATAACATCACTCCCTGGAACATTCTCAGCTCTCATTTGAAGCATGTGCAGAAGCCAAACTTTCTAGCTGGTTAGAATGGCTTTTTAAAGAAATACAGCTTTTTCTAATGGGCAAAAATGAAAAAGGCCTCCTTGTACACTCTTACATGGACAGATTGCTCCTCCCAGAACATCTGTAACCCACTCATCTTTGGGAGGGTTCCCTGCCCCGTTTTCTCATCTCAAACCTGTGGAATTTTGAAGTCCAAAAATAATCAGCATGGCCTAAAGAGTCCGCTCAAATTCAAACCCACTCTTCCACTTTACCCAATGAAAATATGCCAATAACACATGAAGCTGAAGTTCTGTCAGTGTTAAGAGGCAGAATTACAAAAGAAGTGTGAAATATCTCTTCTATAAAAATATTATTTTCAGATTATTATCTCAGTGTTCATTGTATTCAGACTGCCTTCTATGAAACATGACCCTGTCTTTTCTGCATTCTGTCTGTTGTCCTTCCAACTCAACTCTTCTTCCAAAAGTTACCTTGGAGAGCATCATTTCATAGCAGTAGGAGCGGGCTCTGAGTATTAAGCATGTCAGTGTTTATTTTTCATATTGTATTATTCATGGTTGTCTTCCATAACAAATTACTTCATTTGTCATGAATTTTAACAGGTTTATTATTATTATTATTATTATTAATTGTGAGTTTGTGAGTCCTATTCAGAAATGTATCTTTGCCTCTACGGCAGGGATAAGCAACCTCACCAGGACTGAGTCTGTTCTCCAGATTTGTTGGCAGCCCAAGAGCTGTAGTTTTAAGAGGACAGTGCTAAAGATGGAGGGGTGTGACCAAAGAGGCTAATTTGCATATTTTAGAGCATCAGCTTTATACCATAACCGTTGCTGCAATTAGTTATAAAGGAAAAAAAGGATATAACTGTGTTGTTGATCTTTTAAATGTATCTTTCAAAAGAGGTTTTCAAAAACTGAAACTGTGTCCCTTGCCCACTAGTGGCCAAAATACGCTTTAAAAATAAACATTTGAGCTCAATTCAAAACATGGAGAAATTGTCTTCACATGCCATAAACAGCGTAGGGCTTTTTTGAATGAGGAAAATAAATTAAAGAAAAAAATAAAAATGTGTGTGGGAGTGTGGGGATTGGTGAGTAGAGGTATGATCTTTCATGCTTTGGGGCTGTTATTCCCAGAATTCTATAAGAATTTAGGTAATTGCACCCTGCAAAGCCAAATCAGCACAACTGTAGATCAAGAATAGGCAGTAAAAACAGGAGAAGCCAATGCTGCAGATAAAATCTAGCAAAAACCTTCTCTAGAGGGCCAAAACTTACAGGTGTGCTGATCCGAGTTGCAATCCAAAACCCCAAAGAGCACACTCTTATTGTGAAGTTCTGAAGGTGCTGGGGGATCACAACAATGGCCCTTGGGCTGCTGGCAGCCAAAAGTCAACTCTTAACCATCCTGCTCCACTCTCTCGTGGAATCACTTAATTCAGTTTCTTCCTATTATTACCTGAGCATTTACACTGTTAGAATGCACAGATAATGTTTCCTGCTAGGCCACAGGTGATCTTGGGAGCACAACCCAATTTCAGAAGAGAAGTTACTTTGGGGGCATTTTAAAGGTTACACCTGCCATGAGAGATCCAACAAAAATGTTCCTTCTGCAGATGAAATGTGTCTTGTTTATGACCTTTTAAAACCATTTGGTTGCATTGAGTTAGCTTTTTCAAATAATAGTTTGGTGGATCAGAAAGGAACCCTATACTTTCCTCCATTGCACATCTCATGCTGTAGTTATTTGACCAGTACAATTAACAACATACCTATTTGTGCACCCTGGTTTGTTATACTCATTTGTGGTTAAACTGAAATTTAAATAAACTGTTGAGTGGCCAAAGTGTTCCCCATGGATCTTGTTAGGCAGTGGCTCTCACCATTCCTTTTTATTGACTAGGCTGCTTACAGCTGATACAGTTTGCAGTCCAACATCAAGAGGAGTTCACTTTGTTCACCACTGGTTTAAACTATAGTTTGGTATACTACGGGAAATTATGGCTTGAACAGACTGTGAAGTATGCCATATATGTAGGGTGGGGGGAAGAAAGCATATAAGTACATGGCTTCTTTGCATTTCTCTAAACCATAGCATAGAAAATTGCCTAATTCACATTATAATAATCACATATGTATATACATACATGTGCACAAGCATTATCTATCTATGCATGCATGCATTTTGTATGCCACCTTTCTCCCATAGGGGACTTAAGGTGATTCACTGTCGATTAAAATGACTATAAAAATTTAGTTAAAAAGACAATAAAATAGAGTACTGAAAAACAATTAAATAACAGCATCGAAAACCGCCATATAAAACCATTTTAAAACACATCTACTCTGTTAAATAAATACAGTATTCCCTAATGACCCTTACTCATCCGAGTCAGTTAAATGCTTGCTGAAAAAGGAAGGTTTTTGTTTGCTTGTGGAAGGGCAAGAGAGAGATGTCAACATCCCACAATCTGAGAGCAACCAGTGAAATGTTCCTCTCTCATATCCACACCAAACAAGACTGTGGGGATGGTGGAGCTCAGACAAAGACCTATCTAGAAGATCTTAAACGCTGAAGAAGTTCATATGGGGTGATATGATCATTCTGGTAATCTGAACCCAAGCTGTATAGATCATGACCAGCTTTTTGAATTTGGCCCAGAAACCAATTGGCAGCCAGCAAAGCTAATATGGAAAGTTGTAATCAGAGCAGCTGCAACATTTAAAATCAACAGAAACTTCCAATTGTTCTTCAAAAGCAGGCCCACGTAGAGTGCATTACAGTAATCCAAGCTAAGGCATGTGTCACCATAGGCAAATCAAACCATCTCAGGGAAAAGGCACAACTGTATAGGAATCAAAAGAATTGTAGCTGTTGATGGTTTTTTGGATAGGGTATCTCAGTGTGTTGAGTCACTTTTTTTAATGAAGAATGAGTAAATTTGTATTTGTTCTATCCTTAGTTTACAGAGTATAACATATATAAACATCCTTATGTTTTATATGTTGTCATCTCTAATACTGGTGACTAGCAACATCTAGCAGGCTGTGGAGAATTGTGCAGATTGTAAGAATGACACTTTGTATGATACTCTGTTCTAAACATAGTATCATATTCTAAACATGAAAATGGTGATGCCTCACCAGAGAGCAGGTACTGTGGGTGTAGCTCCATGGCAAATGTAAATTCCACTGTTCTGTAAACTTGGTGGGAAAGGATACAAAAATGCATTTGAAGAAGTAGGCTTCTGCTTGATGACATAGGCTAATAATCTGTCAACCAATATTCCACTGGTCAGAAGATTATAAAATTCTTGAGGGAGCTGCATGAGATTTGTCCGTCCTTGAGGATTCATGAATAATGTTGACAAATATACTGTATTGTGCTTCTTAAACATAGTCATACCATAAGATGGAAGGTTTGTTTTATCCAATTGATGAAAGTTTTCCTTTTTGTAAATTGGTTTTTACTATTGTTGTTTCCTCTGTTGTGAGCCGCCTAGAGTGGTCAATCGACTAGATAGGTGGGATATAAAATAAATAAATAAATAAATAGGGATGATGATTTTAGATAAATATCTGCATTAAATGTGTTAGTCATACTACAAAAAGAAAACTGGCAATTTAATTTAATTTGTTTTTGTTTAATATTCCCCTTCCTAATACTGATGATGAAGGTGATGATGGTGATGTTTGCAGTATTGTCATGATTTTCAGGAGTGCACAAAACCTCTGGTACATAAATGCTACTCCATAGGGTTTCCCAGTCTTCAGAGCAAGTCTTTTCACTGTCATCAGGGCTAGAAAAGGAAGGAGTTGTCCTCTCCAGTTTCCATGTACAGAAACTGCCTCTCTGAAAGCAGTTACCATTTTGGCTAGTTTGGGGATGGGGATGATGATGATGATGATGATGATGATGATGATGATGATATCACCGCCGCTCTGCATACAAATTTAAAAATGAAATAAAAATTAAAAATAGTAGATTGTTCTTTATGCAGAATGTTTTTTTTTCTTTGTACAGTGCAGACATTAGAAAGTGATTGGTGATAAGTAACATTTCAGATAATAGCAAGATAGAGCTTTATGACTTTGTAAAGGCTAGCATGTTTTTGGGCCATTTCACATGTTACACTCAACTATCCCTTGGGAATTTCAGATAAGGTTCACCACCATATTGCTAAGAAGCAACTAAATAGGATTCAGAGAAGCTTTTTTTTCCAATTTGCTCTTGCTGTCTATGAATTGCTTTTCATACAATAAGTAAATGATTGAAAGCTGGCGTTCGCATACCTGACTGGTATGCCAGCTAGAGTGAACTATTTTGAGAGATTAATCTGATGTAGCAATTAACCATTCAACAACCCACAGGCACAGAAAGGTTTAGGACTGAGCTGCTGGTCTATCAACATTTCTCACAATTGTTTCTCACCTTTAAGTTTTATCTGTGAAATGAGATGCTCCATTAGAATGACTGATAAACATGAAATTCAGTGGCATTAAAATGTTTGTTCTTATTTAGTTTGTTGCTACCACAGTATTCTAACTTATTTTTTTTTTCTGCTCTCTCTTTTCTTTTCCCTAAACAGTCCTGGTACTTGGGCTAGCCTGGTCCCTTTTCAAGTATCAAACAGGACACCAATCCTGCCCACAAATGTCCAAAATTATGGTTTGAATCTAATTGGAGAGCCTTTCCTTCAAGCAGAAACGAGCAACTAAAGGAGACTGAAACTGAACAAAGTACCATAAAAGAAAGGAAGATGGGACAAAAAAAAAACAAAAAACAAAAAAACTGAAGAAAGAAGAAACATAGACCAGCAATTGCAGCACTTACAATCACTAATTCCCTTAAGGTTGAAACTGTAAAGGTGTTTTTTAAAGAAGGGTCGGCGATATTTCACTGATGAGTAGAAAGATGCTCCTCCTAAGTAGCCTTTGTTCTATGAAATCCACTGGGAAATAGATGTTCTGTCTCTGACAATATATTTTAACTGACTTTCTAGATGCCTTAATATTTGCATGATAAGCTAGTTTATTGGTTTAGTATTCTTGTTGTTTACGCATGGGAACACTATTCCTAGTTAGCTCTCAAAACAAAGGCTAGGAGGCATCCACAGAGGTGCAGGAGAAGGAGAGGCCACCAGCTAGCTTTTCTGAGCACTCTGTTTTCTGAACTTTTCCCCCCCCAAGGAAAACAATTTAGGTATCAATCCACATTTATTTAACTTTGTTCCTTAACCCAACCTGTTTCTAGTGTGTTACCCAGTTTGAAGTATTCAGGAAGATATTTAAATAAAGAGGCATTTTATGGAATCAATGCCTCACTTTAGGTTTTAAAAAGTGTTATCTTCTCATATGATAATAAAAATTAAAAGAGAAAGACACTTAAAAAGATGCTACAAATAATTTCCCCCACCAAGGAAAACACTTAGAGGCAAGTGCAATTTTAAAATGATATCTAAAGGGGATCATTGTTATAAGTCCTTTAGCCCTTGGACTCTAAATTGAGGGGATTAAAAAGAAGAAGAAGAATTTCAAAAGTATTTCAAACAAATTTATTTTTCCCTCATTTTTGAAAGGGGGGCATTAAAAGGCATTAATTAAATCAAGACAGATCATGTACTTGAGGAAAAAAATGAATTGAAACATAGCACTTATGTTGATTTAGCTTCTGCCTCCTTTGATGTATCTTATTTATTTAAAGTTACTGGTTGAATCAAGAACCCATAGAGGATAAGAAAGGTTCTATAAAATGTTAATCACAGAGAGGTAAATCCATGTCACAGAGGGCAAAGCTTATAGTTTACAAATGGGAATGCCAGGTTAGTGGGTTGGGGGAGGAATTGAAACTTATTTTAAAATGCACTCTTTTAAAAAGCCTAATGACAGGGTGCTGAAAACGTGCATGGTGCTCTCAGAAATTAGCCTTGTTTGACAGATGACTCTTATTAACAATAACATGCATGGGCGGATACATTTTGCCTCTATCTCTTTAAACAAAAATTAATTAAAACTACACTATCCAGTAATCCTAATTTGCACGAAGTTATAATGTCCACATAACGTGCCTTGCCTTGAAATCTAAAAAGTGACATCACTACACTTGTTTTGCTGCATTTATTATCATTTTAAATCTACCATTTTTATGACAAAATATTTTGTACTCCAGATGGGAAAATGAAAAAAAAAAAGTGACATCGTGGATTTTTTAAGCAGTTATAACTTTATCTCACATTTATAAAGCATATCATGGCTGTGTATAGTTGCCGCTTAAAAATTGTAATCGACCAGCAATATTTTCAGTATTTTGGTGTTTTTTCTATTAATCTTTCATGTTTTTCATCTTCCAATTAATATTGGGGGGAGGGGATTCAAATTTATACGAATTATGCAATACCAAGTTTTGCCTATGTAGGTAGTGCTTTTAGCTGTATTGGTTATTATAGGTAAGTACACAGATTTAAGAGACAAAAGATTAATGTATGCTTTTTGTTTGTTTGTTTGTTGTTTGTTTGTTTGTTTTAATTGACCAAAGTGGGTACTGCTATTTTTGCAGTGAGATGAGGTCCTTTTGTGTACTGAGAGATGGGCAGGGGATTTTTTTTTAAATATACATACATATATCTATATATGCTGGGGTGGGTGGGGAGGATTTTTAACACTTGACAGTGTAGCTGTGAAGCAGTGCACCATTGGCTGGGTGAGGGCTACAAAGCGACTCGTCTGCTTACTGTGATAAAAATCTCAAAAAGGTGTCTTCTTTTTAACTTTCCATCTGGGGTGCAAGCTGAACTCATTTCTGGTTTTAAAATATTGGTAATAATGATAATGATGATATATAATTAAATGAATAAATAATAAATTATGTTGGAGGCAGACTTGACTTGAAGAAAAATTATTCTTTTCTGGTTTAAGATGTCAAAACCCACAGAGAACAAGCTTTATATTTTTTGCCCATATTTATATATCCACATACAAGAACCAGGCTACCCATTATAATTACTCATGTGAAAAGATGATTCTTTCAGAATCCTGGCATTATAAAGGACCCTGGAGACCATCTAGTCTCTTTGCTGAATGCAGGCTCTATAATGTAGTGTATACCAACAGCATACCTGACAAATGGCCATCCAGCCTATGCTTAAGTATCTTAAAGATATCCAATGCCCCCCTCCTCATAATAATGCCTTTAGAGAGCTAATGTACGTACTCTTCATGGGTGACATGGCATTGTGTATTTTGCCAGTGGGCATCTGTGCCTGTAGACAAAATATAATCAGAGAAAAATTGTGTTTTTTGAAATGCAGTTTTGATCTGCCATCACCAGTTGCACACTTGCAGGCAGCTGTATCTACTATAGCAGTAGTTCCCAAACTGGGGTCCCCAGACATTCTTGGAGTACAGAATCCCAAAAGCCTTCACCGCTAGCTGTGCTTGCAGTGGCTTCTGGGAGTTGCTGTCCAAGAACATCTGGGGACTCAAAATCGGGGACAACTATAATATAGTAAAGTTATGAAGAAGTATTGCATTCAGATATCTCCTCCTTAAGAACACTGGTTTGAGGCAAAATATCCTGAGATTATATGAATCTTACAGCCCTTGAGTGCCCTTGTATTGCAGGGTGCTTCCAGCAGGTTATACATGTGAATTGTGGCTGCTCACACATCATCTCCCAACCACCAGCAAGTTTCCTTTTTTTTTTTTTTTTGAACTAGAAATTGCTACTGAAATTGCCTCTGAGTTTGCAAAGCAGCTTAATAAACAAGAGCCCGGAGGTGCTGTTAATAAAATAAAATATAGAAGACTTAGAAGCTGCACTTTATGCATGGACCGTTATTTAGATTGCAGGCTAAAACTCTACCTGTTTCTAGTTCAGTCATTACTGATGTTAAATACTGTTCTAGTACGCCTTTTAAAATCCTCCTTAAAGTAGCTAAAATGTGGTGAAAGCAGCATTAGCTGGGACAGGGTCTCTTTAGAACTCCCATATCCAGACTTTCAATTTAGGGTCTTCAACAATTGAACATTTTCTAAGATAGGTGTATCTGCAAAGCCAAATAACTGTTGCAAAGTGATGGGAAGATTGTTTTTTCAATGTTTGCATTTAACTGAATGAAGAATAAAACCAACTGTATGTTGGCCCCTTTTTCCCTGAGCCTTACTGTAAGTGTGGCTCTTGCAAGTAACTGAAATGCTAGAGCAGGTCTCTTCGATACTCCTTTAGACAGTGGCCCAATAAAATAGATAGATTATTGCTCTCCCCCAAAATCACTTAAAAATGAATGAACATAGACTAAGTAGTTGACATCAACTGAAGGACTGCACTTGTTCTGGGATGCTGCTTAAACATGTAAGAGTGAAGCAGGATGAAGCAATATTGAATTCAGATTTTAAAGTGCAATAGTTAAAGCGACCCTGATCCTTGTAGAGTGGATAACTCCCTAACATATCTCTCTCCCCCCCCCTATAATCTTGATCCACTGTATAAGTGGAATGGATTTATAAAAATGGGAAGGAAGTTCTTTTGTGTAAAAAAACTAACTTGTCTTATGAAATCAGCCCTGCCACTAAAATCTTCAATGATCCTTGCCATAAACCTGCCAACACCTACCTGGCAGTTTTAGGTTATCTCAGTACAGTGATCTCTGTGGGTTTCTCTGCCTTCCTTTTTAATATAAAGGCTATCAGAACCACATTTTCTATTCTTCAAATCTTAAATCTGCAAATTCAAATGTTTAAAGTTGCAAACTCAAATCTAGTCTGAGCCTCCTCCTTCATCAGGAAGTATATTCTGACTAAATCGAGCCACCCCGTTCTATGTGCACTGTTCAGCCTTTTTCAGTTGCTTTGCAGCCCTTGCCCCTTGGCAGTGCCACTGAAGTGTGTTTTCCCCTAGAGTGACATGGACGTTTGAGGCTTGACTAAGGAAAAAAAGGCAGTGAAGGAGACTGTACATAAAGACATGGCAAAATATTAAGTATAGCAATATAGTTGTGCGTTCAAGGTGGGCAGTTCCATCTAAAATATGTGAATGAACCTGTGAAGCTGCAACTAAGAGAAGAACGGAGGATCTTCTTAATCAACCCACCTACCTTGTAGACAGTAATTTGTACACTGTATAGTTTTGTTAAAAAAGTTTTTTTTTAAGCACCCTTGTTTGTAAAGCTAATTTTTAGCAATTATAATGGAAATGTGTGTCGTTTCCACTTTTAAAGTAAACAAGAATATTCCTTGTTTAGAAACTGGACTTGGGTTAAAACTCTCCAGTTTCTTAATTTATGTATTAAAACAAAAACAAAAAAAATCTGTCCATGTTAGGAGATATTTTGCTATGCTTGAAAAGCATAGGTTACTAATCCTTTTAAAAGAAAATGTAAATGGAGAAAAGTTATATTTTATGAAGGTTATTTTGTTGTATTTAGTATTGGAAAAGTTGGGTTTTGGAGCATTTCAGAATGTTGGAAGCACCACTGTCTTTTTTTATTAGTATATATGGCCTTTAGCAAAAAAAATCTTGTGATTGTTACATGATGGTATTTAAGAGTAGGTTCACAGAGCATTCAGGACAGACAGAAAACTAAAACAGTAC